AATACTTCGAAATAAGATAGTTACCTCTTACAGCAATATTTCTACATATAATATTATAATTCTATAATAAACGACTATAGTTATCGAGTTAATTAATAATATTTATACTATAATCGAGAATTACGAAGAAGCTATAAAGACTAAGAGATTTAAGCTATTTAAGTTTATAATATACTTTACTAATCGAAAGTATTATATTAATTAACCTTTAAATCAGCCTTTAAATCAAAATAATTATAATAAACTATCTTCGAAAATAAACGATTTTTAAAAGTACTATATCTATGAAAAGATACGCTATTAATTAATTAAGTATATTAATAAGAAACGTTAGAAGTCTTGAAATAAGTTTACTAAGCGGTTTACCGGCTTAATTAATAAGCGATATAACTTCTATATTTAAGAGTTTAAAGGTTAGAAAGATAAGATCGAGGATTTCGAGGCCTTAACTCTCGACGTTTAAGAAACCGACTTAGAAGAAGCTGAAAACTTTATTATAATTACTTCTATAGTTATATCGAACTAAGTCTAAGCACGTTATTTAGAGCTTTTTAGTTATTTTATATACTATAATATTATTAAGTCTAATAGCTTTCTTACTATTAGCCGATATATCTTAAAGTAATTTTATAATATTATACTAGATATCGAAGTTATATATATATTTATTACTAGATATAATTAAGTAAAAGTCTATATAAGAGAATTTAATATATAATTAAATATTATTACTAGTAGTATTATTATCTAATTTAAGATTAAAATATTATTATTAATTAGAAAACTTATAGTAGATTCGTCTATTAGTCGAGTCGATTTCCACGTAATATAAATTAATACCTTATTTTTACTATATATTTAAGATATAAATAGACTAGGGATTTATCTAAATAATCTTAAAAATTAAGTTATTTTAAGAAATAAATCTATAATCTTAATTATTCGCTTTTACGAATATCTATTCTTAATATAGAGTCTTATATTAGTTAATTATCTAATCGATATCGAGTTATATTAACTATATCGTCGATTTAATTATCTCTTAGTTAATAGACTTATCTATACTCTAAAGAAAGCTAACTATAACGACTTCGAATACCGTTATATACTTAAACAAATCACCGAGTTCTATATACTCTATTAAAAGTACTCTCGATCTTTAAATCGTTTTAAATTCTTATTTAAGAATAAGAATAATATCTATTTTAATTATATAATTATTATCGATATTCTCTATATTAACGATAACTTAGTTCTATAAGTTATTAATAAAAGAACTTTATTTTAAGCCGTCTAATAATTAACGAATATAACTATCTCTTATATATAGAATATACTTAGACTATACTAAATAGACGTATATGTTAAATCTTTAAACGTTATTATCCACGACGCTGAAATTAATTTTAATAATATCGAGTTTAGATAAAACGCTAGAACTCTAAGTATTTAAATAAAATGCGTATTAGTTAAGGCCGCTAATTCTATCGGCCTAATAGAACGATATTATACTTTATTAAGATGAGTCTATTCGATAATTACTACGGAACTAGAGAATTAAAGTATTAAGAAGGAGATTCGTCTATAAATAACTATTAAGGCTATTAACGATATAGCCGGATATAATAGCCTCGTTCTCATATTATTAGTTTTTGGAATCTATTCTCATATCGCAAATAACGATATACTTACTTTATCTACTATCGAGAGGGTAAAAGCTATTAATATAGTAATAATCGAAATTATAAAATTTCACGCTAAGAGATAGGTTAATAACGTCTTATATTAGCGAAACGGCCCTTAGACGATAAGAATATATAATACTTTAATTAATTTCCCGGTATTAGTCTAAAGAACGTATTAAAAGAAGTAAACCGAATTATATAAATTGCTAACTACTTCTCGAGAGATATATATCATCAAATTATTAAATAGTCTTACTGATTTTCGAGTTACTATTATTAAGCTATATTTAAAAGAAATAGATACTCTAATCGAGTCTCTTAAGTCCTTTAAATAAGAATCTCCATAGTTAGATAATACTCAATACGAAAATAATAATAATAAAGATTATTAAGACTTTTCTTAAAACGCTTTACTACGTTATAACCCTCCTCGACGTTAATATATTCTTATCTATTTTCGAAACTCTATTAATATTACAATTTATATATCTAAGTTTATATTATAATTACCTTTATCGAACTTTTAGATATCTCGATAAAAAGAATTTAGTAAACTATTTAAAAAGAATATATTTAAGATTATAAAGATTGAAGATATCCCCGCAGAAGTATAGATATTTAATAATCGTTTTATAGATTAAATTAAGAATAAGAATATTAAGAAAGCCTTCGAGAAGTCGCGACTAGTAGTATAAGTATTTAATAACTCAAAAAAGTATAAGATTCTTACTTAGACCCCTACTATTTAATAAGCTAATTAACGACTTATTATCGCTCTATTATTAGCTATCTCATAGCTATCTCTATATCTACGCGATATTACTTAGATATATATATAATCTTAATCTAAATTAGCTAGAGATATCTTTATTTTAGTCTTAATTAAAATAGAATTATTATCGAGAATAATACTCCGTATTATTCTCCCCCTCTATAAAATTGCTAAGTTCGATATCTATTAGTTTTAGATATATTATAAATATTATATAGAGAAGCTAGAAATAACCTCGTCTATATTTAATACTTATTTATTATTTAATAACGATATAATAGTAATTATTAGCTTATAAATCGATAACTCTCTTATCGCCGATACTATCGAGTTTATAGATATAAAATTACAAGAACTATACGCCGCTGAACTACTCGCTAAGCTATTCGAGAGACTTACTTCGAAATAACCTCTCGAATTTAATAAATTTATTATTACTCTTAAGAATAATATAAGAATTAGCTAACTTAGATAAGCGAAGAAGATTTAATTATTTATAATATCGTTTACGAAAGAATAGTATATCGCTTAACGAGTATAAGAAGTATATATCGCTACTATATTATAGCTATAAGCGATATTCGCTTTATTATATATCGTCTAGATTATAGAATCTATATACGAGGATACTTAGTATCTAAATCGCTATCTTTTATAATAAATAAAAGAAAGAGATTTTATATTCGTTAAGTTAGATATAACGTCTCTAAGAATTATAGTTTTTATAAATTCGTTATTCGCTAATAATAAAGATCTTTCTTTTTAAATCGGCTATATAATAGCCTTAGCTAACGCTTAGAATAAGGTTAATATTATTTATTAGTAATCGATTAAATATCGCCGAGTTATTAGAAGCGTATTAGCCTTCGAACTTTATATATTATCTCTAAGATTCGACGTTATAATTATTATAAAATTCACTCTAAATTAAATCTTCTCTATTACTCTCTAGAGAAAAATATCTCTCTCTATATATATAGACTCGAAATCTTTATATAAATATCTTATTAAGTTAGAGATAATATAAGAGAAAAGATTAATAATAGATATTCTATATCTAAAATAGTTATATAAATAATAAGAGATTATCGAGATTCTATAAATTAGAGAAGATAAGAATCTAGCTAATTTAATAATAAAGGATAAGAAATATAATATATTATAACGTCTAATAAATACGAATTATCTAGAATTAGATCTAGAAGACTAGATGAAAAGATAAGATATTAATACTAACTAATATTTTTTTTTTTTTTTTTTTTTTTTTTATTTTTTTTTTTTTTTTTTTAAATAAATTTTTTTTTTTTTATTATTTAAAAAAAAAAAAAATAATATAAATTTTTTTTTTTTTTTTTTTTTTTTTTTTTTTAAAATTTTTTTTTTTTTTTTTTTTTTTTTTTTTTTTTTTTTTTTTTTTTTTTTTTTTTTTTTTTTTTTTTTTTTTTTTTTTTTTTTTTTTTTTTTTTTTTTTTTTTTTTTTTTTTTTTTTTTTTATTTTTTTTTGGGGGGGGGTTTTCTAAAATTTTTTGGGGGGGCGTGGGGTTTTTTCCCAACCCCCCCCCTCTCACACTAAATTTTGCTTCACCCAAGGGAGACCATCCAACCGATAGGGCAAGAATTTATGTACAATGCGGGAAAGGTGCCTGTCATTAGCGGACATGTGGTTCGAAATCTGGAGAGACAAGACGACAAGACCGTGTCTAAGGGTATGTCTCTGTATGGTATGGCGCGCAGAAATTCCATCCGTTCCTCGTAAGACTTGGAGATATTGTTTAGGGCTGACGTGAATATCTTCAGTGATTCATGATCCATGATCATGTACGAATGGAGCCTTTTTGGGTCTCATACATCTGAAATCTTCCGCAGCAGGCAGAGCCCGGCTAAGCGTCGTGGAAGATGAGGAGCAACGGCAGCAGACCCCATCGATTCCCTTGCTAAAGGCACATGCCCGTCATTGAGGTCATCAAAGCCCCGACTTGTATTGACCTGTGCGCAAAGCAAGTATTTATTGATGTTACTGGGGTTTTCGATTGTGCGCTAGGCTCGATAAGTCAGAGGCCCGCAGATCATGCCGCTATCGCTCATGCACGCTTCGGCTTCGGTCAATCACAACCAACGCCCGCTGCTTTCTTAGGGCGTCTGACATCAACTTGGACCTTTTATGATTCGCTCTTCTTGCTTGACAGCGGCTACTTGTCAGGATGAGATCGGGCCAGATCGGGTTTGTCTCTTTCTGCTCTGCTTTGGTTCCTGAATTCATGGCACTTCCTCTAGTCTACCCGTATATCACGCAGATGCAGAGAATTTTTTCCTGATCAAGCAATTCCATATAAGCGTAAAGAAGGTATGGAGATGTTCGGCTCGGTCTAGACAGAAGCTCTTGTGTCTTATTGGCAATCATATCGTCATGGTAGATCGGCCATATCTCGCGTCTTCGCCGCGGTGAGTTGAGACTTGGCATTGTTTATGTATCTGACCTGGTTCCCTGGGTTTTCACTTTCGCTCTTCACGCATCTCGCATTTTATCGACACCTTTCGTAACCATGACTGTTGCTACCGTCTTACTGCAAGCCACCTCCTTACTTTCCAGCCTGTCGCAGCTACGCACCAATGGTAAATATCTGTGCTTGCCTTTTCAGGTTATCTGCGTACTTCTAGCTTCTAGAGAGACGCTGTGCTTACAGTCGTATCCTAAAGGTGCTTCCAACCTCGGAACCTTCGAAGCACCAAAGCTACCAGCGTTTCTCGAAAACAAGTGAGTCGCTATGCTGCACCGTTCTCCAGAACTTCTAGAACCTCATTGTGATACTACTATGCTGTCTTCTGTAGCGTCGCAGGTCTTGCATTTTGTTCTCACTCTCGCGCTGTCTCTACTGTAAAAACGGTCTGGTTCTAATATGTTGATAGTCCTATAATCAACGGCTTTCCATGGGGCGCGAAAGGCGCTTCGACTGCAGATCCCTACACCGGCGCCGCCGATACGGGTGTTACTCGCTCATATGATTTCACAATAGCTAGGGGAACTGTAAGTCCCGATGGATACCAGAAAAACATGCTCCTGATCAATGGCCAATACCCAGGGGTAAGCATTCCATCTTCTCAACGAGCTCAACCACTCACGGCTCAATCTCAAGCCTTTGATCGAAGCCAATTGGGGAGATACCATTCAAGTCACCGTGAACAATGCCATCTCCGGGCCGGCCGAAGGTACCGCCATGCATTGGCATGGTCTCAACCAGCTGAACACGGAATGGGCAGACGGCGTTCCAGGTGTTTCGATGTGCCCAGTACCGCCTGGTGGGAGTTTCACACACACTTTCAAAGCCACTCCATATGGCAGTACTTTCTACCACTCGCATTACTCCTCTCAATACGCTGATGGCCTTTGGGGCCCAATTGTAAGCTCCAAGTTCACATTGTGTACCTATCATTGCGACAAGTATGGTCAATGTTAACATACATTTAGGTGATACACGGACCCAAAAACTACCCCTACGACATCGACCTGGGCCCAGTGACACTCAACGACTATTACCACAAAGGCTACTTCACCGTTTTGGAAGGCGTCATGGGAACCGACCTCTCAGACGAAAGCCTCGTTCGACCAGCATCTGACAACAACTTGATCAACGGCAAGATGGACTTTGCATGTGGTAACAGCACTGGCAACAGTACCATGGGCACCTGCGTCAATAATGCTGGCTTGTCCAAGTTCAGCTTCACTAGTGGCAAAAAGCATAGGCTGAGGTTGATCAACACTGGTATCGCTGCTATCCAGAAATTCAGTATAGATAACCACAACATGACCGTCATCGCTAATGACTTCATCCCTATCGTACCGTATGAGACTACAATTGTAACACTAGGCGTAAGCACCCTTCCTTAGCATGTCCACCCTCGTCTCCAAACACACAGACAAAAACACAGACAAACACAGAAACACACACACTGAATGCTTACAATCTACAGGTCGGCCAACGCACCGACATCGTCGTCGAAGCAACCGGCGATCCTACCGATGTCGTCTGGATGCGCTCACACATCACGTCCGGCGCCTGCACCGAACCCGCCAATCAGCCCCTAGCTCTCGCAGTCATCTACTACGAAGACGCAAACACAAAATCCGCCCCAGGCAACGCCTCGGTCGCGCAAATAGACACCACGCCCGCCTGTCTGAATGACCCTCTCTCTGATACCGAGCCAATGTATCCCATCGCAGCCGCTGGTACCAACACCACAGTCACCCTGAACGTCGCCGTCGCGGTCAATTCCACAGGCCACATTGTCTGGACTATCAATGATAGTGCGTTTGAAGCGGATTGGAATAATCCCATACTGCTACTGGCAAAGAGTGGCAATACCAGTTATCCGGCGGTCGATGCGGATTGGAACGTTTATAACATGGGGACAAACAAGACTGTGAGGTTTATTGTCAATAATACGAGTCCCACGAGTCATCCGTGGCATTTGCACGGGCACGAGATGTGAGTCTGGGTTTTTCTCTCGCTACGGGGATGATGATGTGCTTGTGTCGGTTGTGGTTTGGAAGGAGGGATAGTTGCTGACTCTCCACTGTGCTGGCAGGCAAGTCCTATCCGTCGGACTGGGCGCATGGGGCGGTGCCATCACTAACCCTAGCAACCCCCAGCGCCGCGACGTACAGATCGTACCCGCGAATGGCTATGCTGTACGTCCCTCTCTTTCCTTTCCCTCTATCCCTTCTCACCCATTCCCTACCCAGTGCACCCACCCAGGCGAAAACGCACTCATTGACCCAACCCTCTCTTTTTCGTACAGGTCTTCCAATGGCAACAAGACAACCCCGGCGTCTGGCCCTTCCACTGTCATATCGCCTGGCACGTCTCGGGCGGTCTTTATGCTAATATCATGGAGCGACCGGCTGATATCAAAAATGTGCTCATTCCGTCGACGACGTATCAGAATTGTAGGGATTGGGCTGATTATTCGGGTGGGAATCTGCTGCCGCAGATTGATTCGGGGTTGTAAGGAGGTTGAAAAATGTATATTGGCTTGATGGGAGTACAAATCGCTTTGTAGAAAGGGACAAGGAATAATGGCAGATACTGAAGAACATATATTGTCAATGGGACTGTACAAATCATCTTAGGTCTCGTGTACAGTGTACTTGATATCTTCATGGCGTGATCATTGTCTTTCACCTCCATCTGCGATAGCATTAGCAAGTGATCAAACTTGTTCTGGTGCTTGGTCTGTCTTCCGTCAACATAAGTAGTATAGTTTGAAATTACACGAGCTTTATCATCCGGCTTTAAACCAAACACGGGAGATACTCGTAGCCATTGGCGCATCGCGCTACCGGCGCTAAAGAACCAATCAACATTTGGTAGCATCTCCGGCCGTGCTGCGCAGCGACCTCATCTTCTGCTGATATGCTTAGCAGATATCCTGGGTCTAAATTTCGTGCCCTTGAAAGCAGATTGAAGACCCCTCCCTCCTCCTGACAACAACGATGGCTCCGCAAGCCTCGTGGGGCGGGCACGCCAGGATCAAAGGCTACACCAAGCTTCAGCGCATGGCGATGCTGACTTTCTCATTGATTGGACTTCAGCAAGTCTCACGCCTACTTTAATCTTCCGGTGCAGACTCTAATAGCACGATGCAGATTTACATGGGCCGTAGAAATGACATGTGTTCACCCCTTCTCCGACTCGAACTCTGCAACGCATCTCGACTAACGCCCCTCTCTGCAGACTTCGAGCCGCATCTCCTGAAATTGGGTCTGGCGAAGAGCCAGACTTCGCTCGTGTGGATCGCTCCTCCGCTGTCTGGGCTGATTGTGCAGCCGGGTATTGGCGTCTTGTCGGATGCTTCGCAATCGAGGTGGGGTAGGAGGAGGCCGTTCATGCTGCTTTTCTCCCTCTTGGTGGCTTTGTTCCTCGTGGTGCTTGCCTGGGCGTCGGAGGTTGTTGGGGTGTTTACTGCTGATGAGGTTATGGTAGAATTCGGAGCTTGATCACAGCGTTCCGGTACTTGTGTTGCTGACAGAGCTTAGGTGAAAAGCGCTACGGTGGCTTTGGCCGTGTTCTGTATCTATGCCGTGGATTTTGCGATCAATGGGGGTATGTCTCTACTTTTCCAGAATGTAGCCTAGATGCTCTGGTGCTGATGGAATGACGACAAAGTGCAAGCGACCTGCCGCAGCCTCATCGTGGACACACTTCCAGAATCTCAGCAGCAACTTGGCTCAGCATGGGGTCAGTCCCGTGCCCTTCCATCCTCAAACTTTCGCTAAAGTTCCGGAAAGCGGGCAGGATGCTCGGACTCGGTCAATTACTTGGCTATCTTGTCGGCACTGTCAACTTGTCAAAGTATTTCGGAACAACTCTGGGAGCGACTCAGTTTAAACAGATTTGCGTCATTGCGGGAGCTACGATTATTTGCTGCGTCAGCGTGACTTGCTTCTGCGTTGAAGAACGTGTGCTGCTTTCTAAAAGGTGAGCCAGGTTACACCTATCTCGGTAGGTCGGCGCTGCTGACTGGAATCAGAACTCACCGCGCAAAGTCAGGAGGACTGGCGATGCTGTCGACGATACTCAGAACTATGCTCCACCTACCGAGCAAGATCAGGGCGGTGTGTTGGATTACTTTCTGGTCTTGGTTCGGTATGTAGACTGTCTACTCTTCCTTCTCCCAAGCGCACCAACTGACAAATTTGGCTCTGGGAGGGTGGTCTCCATTCTTTGGTGAGTACACTCCATGACAGCGAGTCATCATTGACCCCGCCAGAACCCTAATTTGAACAGTCTATGGTACTACGTGGGTCGGAGAGACATATTACCGCCAGAATGCCGACAACGCTGCGGAATTGCAGACCAAAAATGACATGGTGGGCGAAATTGCTAGGAAGGGTTCTTTGGCCTTGGTCTTGTTCTCTGTGATTTCCTTCATCAGCTCAATCTTTTTGCCTTTCGTAATATCGTTGCCCTCCGACGGCATCGCCCATCATCCTGTTAGAAATACCGCGCGACCGCTTAAACGAACCTCGAGCCTCTTCCAGCGGTACCATATTGACATTACGGCAGCGTGGGGTATGTCGCAATTAGCGTTTGCGGCTTCGATGATCCTAACACCGTTCTCGACTTCCTTTCAATTCGCAACTACCCTCATTGCCCTCTGCGGAGCGTAAGTTCCCTGTCTCTAACCGCCATCGGACCGCCAGCTGATCGAATCTTTAGATCCTGGGCCATGTACGGCTGGGCACCTCTCGCAATCATGGGCGAAGAAATCAACAAGCTTTCACCCTCTGCCTCCACACCTGCGACCCATTCCCGGAGCACAGAAGACAGCGCGGTCGAGATGTCCCTCATTTCCGATGACCCTCTCTCAACACCAGAGGAATTGCCGTCACCTACCGTCAAGAGCCAGCAATCGGACCTCGGCGCAGACGACGGCATGGCAGGTATCTACCTCGGCATCCACAACATCTTCGCCACCATCCCGCAATTCCTCGCCACGTTCATATCCATGTTCGTATTTTCGGTCCTGGAGCCTGGCCAGAGCCCGGAACTGGCCGCCGGCGAGGCATCGTCACCGGCTACTCATGACCTAGAGCTGCCGCCGGGTGGACTGGCCAGGAGCGGGCTGAGCGGCACCGCTGTCTGTCTCGCGATCGGAGCGGTGTTTCAATTGGTGGCGGCGGCGCAGAGTCTGAGAATGCGGAAGTTTTAGAGGGGTTGATCTTGTGTGTGTGTGTGTGTGTATTATGTATCACGATATTCTTGCTTGAGCAAATAGCTGGGAGATGGATATAAGCTAGAATATGAACCACACATATTGCGCGCGGCATTCTCAACATTCTCAACAAATTTCATCTCGGCAATGGTAGAAGTCTCCCACCAGCTCTCTGGTTCTGCCGTGGTTGCTGAGGCGCGGGCGATGTAGCTGCTGGATGATAGGATCATGGGATGGAGATTAGGGGGGCCGGGACAAAGTAATGAAGATTGTGGCGAAGCAGGGACTACGAACGGAGTGAAGGGAATCGAAGGAGAGAGGTGGTGTTGTCGTTTTGTGTAGCACTTTGAGCGAGTGAGGAGGAGGCGAGTCACCTGTGAGGCATGCGAGGGTGAGGACTAGTAAGCTGTCAGATGCTGGGCCGGTTCTGGAGTCGGAAAGTCAGTGTCGAGCAGTTTCTAGTTTTCTCTTTCCTATGGTTTCTAAATACACGTCACATATTCCCCTTCTCTCATCCCCGTCTCCGCTCAAGATGACTACATATTTCCAATCTATGTCGTCAATTTTGTCACGCAGTCTCCTCCATATTCAGCGCATAGATATCTTTCAAGGCATGTGTCGACAAGTTGTGGCTTTTCATTTCGAAGATCCCAGAACGTGTCCTCCTGCGAAGTCACTCCATCTTCTGACCTCACTCGGCACTTCACCTTCCTTCCGCAGAGGTATCTTTTCACTCATAGCTCGGGCAAAGAGGAGCGCAGTCTGAGAGTTTTACATCAGTCAGCATGCGCAAGTGAGTCACAGTCAAGAAGTCTGAAAAGGCAGTGCCAGTCTCACCTGAGGCTCCATGAACAAAGGCACACCAAAGTCAACCGCGTTCCTGCGCATCACGTAGTCCTGATCCAGTAGGCTCTCCGCTCTAGCAGCAGCGAGGTTGAAAACGCCCCGGACGTCGTATTCTCTGAACACTTCTCTCAAAGCGCGTTTATCCTCTGTGGGGAACTCGATGACCTTTACTTCGCATCCATCCTTGACTGTCGATTCGAGATGGTCCTTCACTTCTTGGTTAGCGGCGAAAAATTTGTATCCGAGCGGCTTCAGGTAATCGACGATGCCGGCCAATTGCGGCTTGGAGACATCACCACCGAAAAGAAGACCCTCTCCGGGTAAAGGCAACCGGAAATTCATGGTCGATTGGAGAGACGTCCAGTATGCTTCGACCAGGTCCTTACCGAAACAGGCCATCTCGCCGGTACTGGCCATTTCCACGCCAAGAAAAGGGTCTGCTCCGGGCAGACGACCCCAGGAGAATTGCGATACTTTTGTCGCAACGTAATCTCTCTTCTTGGCCATTAGGTCTACTGGCTCAGGGATGTCATGGCCAGCAAGGGCTTTGGTGGCAACGTCAATGAAGTTCGTCCCGAGGACTTTGCTGACGAAAGGGAAGGATCTAGAGGCCCGGAGATTGCATTCGATGACCTTGAGAGCAGGCTCACCACCTTCTGGGTCGGCCGCTTTGATTATTTGCATGTTGAAGGGACCGGTGATGGACCAAGCCTTGGCTACCTTCTCAGCAACTTCTTTGATGCGAGCCATGGTACGGTCATCAAGGTTCACGGGTGGGAGGACTAGTGTCGCGTCACCACTGTGAACGCCGGCGTTCTCCACATGTTCAGCCACTGAATGGACAAGTAGCTTTCCCGCAGAACCAACGGCATCCACATCAATCTCCTGTGCCCCTTCAATGAACTTGGTGATGACCACTGGATGATCACCAGACACGGAGCTTGCGTTTAGCAATTTTTCTTTCAGGTCTCCATGGCTGCGTATCACGTTCATCGCTGCTCCGGAAAGAACGTAGCTGGGTCGGCAAAGGACCGGGTAACCTACCCTATCTGCAAAAGCCTCAGCCTCAGGAACTGATTTCAGCTCGGCCCACGCTGGCTGGTCGACACCAATGCTGTCAAGTATTTCGGAGAACTTGGAACGATCCTCAGCGCGGTCGATATCCAAAGGATCCGTGCCGAGGACCTTTGCGTGGCCGGTCTCTTGCAATCGCAGCGCAATATTTTGCGGAAGCTGGCCGCCGACTGATACCACTACATTGGCTGCGGACTCCAACTCGTAAATATCCATGACCCGCTCGTAGCTGAGCTCTTCGAAATAGAGCTTGTCGGCAGTGTCAAAGTCGGTAGAGTAAGTTTCTGGGTTGTAATTGATCATGACTGTTGGTTTCCCCATGGCCTTGAGAGCAAGGGTAGCATTGACCGCACACCAATCGAACTCGACCGAACTTCCGATTCGGTAAACACCGCTTCCGAGGATGATTGTGCCATGATCATCAAATGTCACGTCGTGGCTGGAAGCATTGTAAGTTGTGTAGAGGTAGTTAGTCTAGTAGTAGAAATCATTAGCGATGATGTCCCTCGATGCATTGAAGTGGTTCATGCACGTACCTCAGCAGGGAACTCAGCAGCCAAGGTGTCGATCTTTTTGACCCAAGGTTTCAAGCCCATGCTCTTCCTTCGAGCACGTACTTCGTCTTCGGTACAACCCACGGCAAGCGCAATTTGGATGTCACTGAAGCCTTGCTGTTTCGCTTTGAGCACCAGATCCTTCCTCAATCCGAACAGACTGCCAACATCTTCTAACTCGTGTTGCGTATCCACAATGTCCATCAGTTTGTAAAGAAACCATTTGTCAATCTTGGTCAGGTCGTGAACTTGGTCAACAGTGTAATTCTCATGCATCAAAGCTTGCCCAACGGCAAGCCAGCGGCGATCTTGGGACTTGAGTTAGTGATCGACATTTTGGCGTATACGGAGTTGAAGAGACTCGTACCTGTTGGGTTTCGTAGAGCATCGTCTAAGTCATCGAACTTGTCTCCTTGAAATCCGTTGTAGCTAGGATCGACTTGTCTGATTGCTTTCTGGATGCTCTCCTGCCAGGTTCTGCCTATGGCCATTACCTCTCCGACACTTCTCATCGCAGATCCGATGTGACGGTCAACATGCTGGACTGTTCAGGACCGTTAGCTTCAGAATGACAATTTCCTAGGCCCACGTACATTTCTTCAAGTCCCAGCGAGGTCTATTCAAGAAGCGATGTCAGCACACTACAAATGAACGTCGTGGAAGAAAAGTCGGGACGATCCGAGGACCGCAACGCTTCAGATATCTCTTCCAACCAAAGCTTGCAAAGAGACGTTCCCGAGGAAACTCACATTTTTGTTACAACATAGTCCAAACTCGGCTCGAAGTTGGCTGTGGTGGTTTTCGTGACGGCGTTCGGTAGCTGAGGCAAGGTGTAGCCCAAGCCCAGCTTAGCGGCGACATAGGCAAGTGGGTAAGCAGTAGCTTTGGAAGCCAGAGCAGAGGACCGAGATAGACGGGCATTGACTTCGATGACTCGGTAATCGAGACCATCTGGCTGCAAGGCATATTGCACGTTGCATTCACCGCACACGCCTAGATGGCGAACGATCTTGATTGCCGCTGTGCGAAGCATATGATACTCCTGGTCTAGGTTTAGTCTGTCGCAATCGAAGAGGAGAATTGCGAGCTGATTACTTCATCACTAAGAGTTTGCGACGGTGCTATCACTATACTGTCCCCCGTATGGACTCCAAGAGGGTCAAAGTTTTCCCTGTCACATCACTTTAGTGCTTTGATTTTAGCATGTTCCAACTGGTGTATAGGCATACATGTTGCAGACAGTAATACAATCTGTCGCTGTCAGTGCTTGAAACATGTTATAGACGCTAGCAAGACTTACTATTCGCCCTGTCACGTACGACCTCATACTCTGCCTCCTTCCAGCCCTTCAAAGATTTCTCGACCAGGATTTGAGGCGACAGTGATAGCGACCTCGCAGATAGATTATGAAGCTCCTCCGAATTGTTGGCGAAACCACTGCCCAGGCCTCCCAGGGCGTAAGCGGATCGTACAATGATCGGGTAGCCAACGGCCTCTGCAGCTTCAAGTGCCTCATCCACAGTGTTCGCGGCGATACTCTCGGCAATAGGTATGTCTATCTCTTTCAGTGCTTTCGAACTGTCAGACCCTTATCAGCAATTGCTCTCGCGAAAACGTTCCAATTCCCGTTCCTTGTGTGATCGTACCAGAGTGGATATCACGTACAATAGGTCTCGATCTTCGCTTGTCTCTAGTGTTTTAATGCTTGTTCCTAGGACCTTGACGCCATATTTCTCGAAGATGCCCATCCTATCCATCTGTGTATGGGTCTCGGAGTCAGTATGGCTTATTGAGTGCGAGCTATGAGTTGTAACACATGTCTGAGGAGATGAGCACTCCCGGAACCTATCCCATTTCGGATCTTTGCTTCAATCGACTGGGGAGATGCTGGAGATGACGCACCTGCACACCGAGATTCAGGGCTGTCTGACCTCCGAATGCCAACATAATTCCATCGGGCCTTTCCTTTTCAATCACAAAAGTGACGTACTCCGGTGTGACGGGAAGGTAATAGACTTCATCTGCCAGCTTATGGTCTGTCTGTATTGTGGCGATATTGGGATTGATAAGGACCGAGGCGACGTTCTCTTCTTTTAGTGCTTTGAGCGCTTGCGAACCTATGCACCCGCGAAGTCAGCATACACCCACATGAGGAGCACAGCCGACTGTCGAATACCAGAGTAATCGAACTCTCCTGCTTGTCCAATGCTCAGGCCCCCACTCCCAATCACCAAGACCTTCTTAACATCTACCAACTGGAGCTCCCCCGCATTAGCAATGTATGAAGCTGTGATTTTGGACCCTTGGGCCTCTTGGGGTGTCGCGAGTCGGATCGCAGTACTTGAGATACTTCGTATAGAATGGTACTTCGAGGGGCCAGTGGAGGGAGGCACAGAGGGAGCCCTACGTCGAGCGAATCGTGGTGCGAGGGAGACTGACGTAAAGTATCTTGTCGAAGAAGGTGTCCGTGATGTGCTGACCGGAGGGTAGCATACTTTAGAGGGTCGAGACTTTACCAGCGACTGAGAGCTGATTGTAGAGTAGCATCGCTGGAGGAGCCTCCTCGAGGGCCTCTCCAGGCACTTGAGCGCCATCGGAGACCAAGCGGAGGAGATTTGAGTCCTGTAACCTCGTAAGATATATTCCTCCTCTTACGATAATCCAGCAAGGTGTGACTCTCCTCCTGGATTTCCGCAGTCTTCGAAACCCACTCTTACAAGGACTGGACGGCAGCCCAGGATAGTTGCACTCAGTAACATCGGCAGGGTCTTGGGGTGGGAAGGTGGTCCAAAGGCAGGCGAAAATGGGGGCAAATGGATGCTTGAGACAGCAAGAGGAATGGGCGAGAAGAAATGGGCGGATTGGGCGGATTGATTGACCAAAAAAGAAATTTCGTATGTGACATGCGACCCGAAAATTTTGAGCTGAAATTAATTGACTTCCGAAGATTCTCCAGTGCCCCACCATCGGAGAGCGGCTCGGTCCGTCTATCTATGCTTGAGCCAACCAGTACGGGATTAGCGTGAGGAAGTACCGGTATTGGTACTGGTACACTTTTTCTCTCTTCCGCAAGACCTGCTATACTATACTTAATTTGCACTCAATGTCATCAAAGGGTCTGGCACTACATGTTTCTGCACTCTTTCGCATCCTCTCCTCAAGGAAACACTGCCACCAACAGAGCCTATTGATCTTGTAGACTTGAAAAATGTCTTCTGCTCGCTCATAGGGGAATAGATGTCTTCGCTTCCTCCCAACCGTTTACCAGATATGTGATTGAGGTAAGTCGAGTTACCCTAGGTCGAGCTCGCCAGCACTGCAAATCATCCAGCCTCTTCCCACCAAGACATTATCGAAACATGATTATCACCCTTATCCGCCAGCTCCCGTGCAGATACAACAGCGTTCAACAACCTTACATATCCGTGGAACCCTCTCCCGTTTGACGAAGTATGCCTTATGCCTTTGCAACGACTAGCACGCTGAAATGTGGCACCGTCAGATAATTACCCCAAGAGCAACTACGGAGGCTTTCCAGAACATCGCTATGAATATCCGGGCTATCCACCGGCCGCCAAGTCAAAGCGCCCACCAGCCCGCCCTCTAACGCGGAGCTCTCGTACACGTTCTTGGTTAAATGGTACGCATCGAACTCGACCTTGCCCGTTTTCATCGTTGCATCCAAATGCGTGGCGACCCCTTCTTCAACGTCCTTTGTAATAGTCACGACAACATCACCATACTGTGCTGGTCGAGCCGCCAATGCCGTCTCAACGTGTCCTCGTGGGTCATTAGTGGGAGGCGGCGTGACCCCAATGAAGTGTCCGCTCACCTTCAAATTCACCGAAGCGTTGTGAAACATGTGTGCCATTTCCATGCCATTAGATGCATAGTTCAACAGCCAGGCTCCGAACACCACATCGAATGGCCCGTCTTCGTACCGTATTGGAACGGAGCAATCTGCAACGTGGAAACTCAATCCATCCAGAGTGGCTGACGTGGCCTTCGCAGCACCTACCATTCCCTTCGAGATGTCAACACCGACAACCTGCCTCGCACCCCATTCGAGGAATTTCTTGGAGTAGTAACCCGTCCCACAAGCTAGGTCTAAGACCTTGGCACCTTTGATGAATGGTGCTACGGCTGCTTCGACGTTCGCGTCTTGAAGTATCGCAATGGGCAGCTGCCTCATCTCCTCATAAGTGGCTCCGATGTCATCGTATTGGGTCGACATGCTTACTTGGTAGTGCTATCAAGTGGTATTTTAGGGGTCGAATTTGCTGAGTGTAGATGAATTTGTCGAAGTCTCGTTTGTGGATGTTTCTACATTGCGGTAGTTTATCGGGGGGGGGACGGCATGCTGCATATCCCACATCCGACTCTGATCCGAGAAAGCTTTTCCCTGACGGAAAAATCAAAGTTGTAGTTCTTGTGCCAAGTCTTCTGTGGTAGTTTTTGACTGCCTTGCTCATTAACATGAAGTTGGACGGCAGTGCGAGATCTGATCGCAGTATGTTGTATGTACAAGACATGAGGATCTTGAAAAGAAGTCTCGGTATTATTCTTATTGCAAAGCAGATATTGCCTTCCCCTCCTACTTCCCTCTGCCGCACACATTGCTTCATGGACCGCTTGCCTCCTCCCTTCTCGCACCCCCAATGCCACTCTTGCAAAGCTTGCATGCATTTGCTGTATGACTATGTCACCCAGCCTGATTAAGCATCTTGTGGGGAGGCAGACCCGGCAAGAGAGAAAGAGAATCTGCATTGATCCGATTGTAAGTTGAGGACAGATGAGAGAGGAGCGTTTACAAAACGTGTAGGGTGATTACGAAGACAGTTCCAAATCGGAATAAGCTAGTCGAGCGATGCGCGTTCAACTCGACGTAACCTTTAATGGATGAACCAGACATCGAGAATCGCAAGAAGACCTCAGTGGTAGCCTTCCCGTCACAGCTTCCCAGATATTGAACAAGTCCAACAAGACGACGCGCGAAGCAGCCTTCAGCTGAGGCGGGAAACACTGTAACCTATGAAATATCACCTCTCTCTTCATCTCTATCTTCGTCGCCATTCGTTTCGCTATCCTCTTTGTCCTCCTTGTTCTCTTCATCGTAATCGTCACCCCCGCACGTAACTTCCCCTTCGTCCAACTCCTCACTCACCACAGGCGGCCGAGCAACGCACGTCGAGCACGGCTGCTCCGTACAATCGCTCAGAGCCACTCCGTTCCTCTCACACTCTTTTCGCAACATATCTGACCGGAACCGAGGATTCCTGTACCCTTTGCCCCTCTCAATGTACAACTCGCGAACGCAGATGGCTCTGAGACTGGGGTTCTCAGGGATCTTGGCCTTTACAAACGCAATGAGCCCTGTTTCAAGGGTTGAGGCTTCGAAGTCGCTCATCATGCTGTATATGCCGCCCATGACTTTGACTGTCTCGATTGAGGCAGGCAGCGTGTCGCTTAGGTTGACGAGTGCTGTTGATCGGCACTCGGAGTCCGCTGCGAATAGCTGCCGGATGTCGATTGAGATGTCTTTTAGCACATGAAGCTCACGCAGCGATGTGATAAAGGTGTAGTCATCGTTGATTTTCCCCAGACCAAAGAACGATATTCCCAGAGGCAACGATCAAGAAAGCGAACAAGTATATGCTGGAGCTCGGATCACCCCTCCAGGAACAGGAATCCATCTCTGTGGAACTCCTCACTATTCTACAGAGAAGAGACAGAGAAGCCACTCAGGTTCTGGATATAGTGGTCATAGCAGGACTGAGAGCTACGCGGATCGCGGAAGCAGATTAAAAGACTTCAAGATGCTCTGCTCTCCGAGCGAATTCATGATATGCAAGTCAAAGCCGGTTTGCACCACGGCCAGGGTCTATGAGCCTACTGAGTTCTCAGATTACGGAAATGATCCCCGAGCTCATGAACGAGACTGTCGCTGCCTTAAGCGTCCTGGGCGGTATACTGTGCCTAATCTCGTGGCCGACCAATACCGCTCCTGCTCCCGCTTGGCCGGAACAGTTCCCTGACATCTCGACGTCGGATGAAGAGATTGTAGGCCGTGTAAGTGCAACCGATCTCTGCTAGAGTATAAGGTATGTTATACTATTTGCAATGTGACAGCGATCAGGAAGGACGTGTGTTGTTGCTCGTGTTACACCGACCGCTCTTTAACACTTTTTCCAAAGTCTGCTATCCGCCAGGCACTTGATGCTGGCCATATTTCCCCTCTCAACACTCGGGGCCAAAACAACACATCTCTTGTTGCGCACAATCAGATCGTTTTGAAAAAAGTTCCGACGCACTGGTATCGGCGATCCGACGTGTTATTGCTTGTGTCACACCGAGGCCCTCCTTGTCAGTTCGTTCCTCAGAATCCTTCCATCTCAACACTCCACACGACCACGGCACACCTGCTTTCCAACACTCAATGCCCGAGCATCCGCGTCTGGTCAGACCTGTATTTCCTGGAAGGCTTCGTTTTGTCTAGCTCGGTCTCCGAATATCTCCATTCCTTTCTCCTCAATCTCTCGGTCCGGGACACCCTCAAAGCTCGTGTGTCATTACCGTTTCTTATCCCAGGCTCACCCGAGGACGTCTTTCGAGAATGGCTTCGTACTTTTCCCCTGGCCTCCTGTGCAATTGGTGCGAATAGTGTATCATTCGGCAACACCATGGTTACCACTCCATGCCCTTCAAAGCCACCTCAACCTCGGGATCACATTCGAAGCGAACGACTATTCGGCCACTCAAACTATCTGTCACCTTTGAGAAGCTGATACCCGGCAATGTGGATTTCGGGATTTAAGACAGGCGTGCGCTCGCTGGCATTGGCTAGCTCTAGAGCTGTTTGATGGCCGACCGTGGCGCGACTCTGAATTCAATCTAAAGGACTCGTTTTCTGTCCTTGACGACTTTCCGTTTCTGAGAGCTCTCCAAGATAGGTGTACTGTAGAGTGGGTGGAAGAGTGTCAGGAAGGACGGAAACAAGGCGCGGTCGGATGAGCTGAGCCGGCGGAAGACACCAATCAAGAAACGAAGTTTTGGATTGGTATCGTTCGCCCTACGGTCGGCAAACCCAAGACTGTCTCGAACATTCCTTTTGCTTTGACGCATGAAATCTATATCTCAATGAGGACGGGTTTTTCGTGCCTATCATACTGTGCTATCAGCGTGAGGCGCAGGTTGAAGGCGAGAGAAAGAAGACCGCGAAGATGCTCTATGGACTACATGGAAACAGTTCGCAGCAGAGGAGTGAATCAGCGGAGCTGAAAAGGCTTGAGCGAGCAAAAAGGGGGAAAGAAAAGGCTGAGATCTTGACCAAGATCGAGAAGGAGCAGACTGAGGAGGAACAATTCGAAACCCTTGCTTGTGCCGGCGATGTTTCTAACGGCTTGGAGCGCGGGAGAGTATTAGGTGCATCGGGCGAGCATATGGCGTGCATATGCGCCATGATCAAGAGAGCTGGACCAGAGAAGCAGTCACCTGACCTGATGGAGGCTCTGGAGGGTATCAAGGGAAGAATACTAGAAAAAATGTAAAGACGGCGCCTGTGTGGGGCACAGCAACAGCGATCATCAAAGAGAGAAGACCGTACCAGATGTGTTGTTGCTTTCGTTATATCCCCTCACCTCTAAAATCTCCGTCCCCATAACACTTCTTTCTCAACACATAGCGCCACCTCAAGACACCTGCCTCTTATAGAAATGAAGATGCCCGAGCATCTACTTCCTACTCACGCCACTTTTGTCCAGTTTTTCTGCTTCCCTCCAATCCAATCTCCGAACACCTCCACGCCGTTGCCTTTCGCTAGTCGATCTGCACCTTAAAGCCTGACTTACCCTCACCTAAGCTTTGTTCATGAAAATAATCCCCACAATGGCTACCCATGTTCCTATGGATCAGCCCTGCGGCGAGTGTGAGTCATCCTCCTGTCGAGACAAGACACTCGTGAGCCACCCTGCATCCTTCAAGATCTTTTTCAACTCGCACACTGACGGATTCAACTTCAGGGCGAACGAGTTCACAACAAACCAAATCGCGGAAGCTTTTGCGAATCTTATCTCTGGTCATATGAACTGGCAAATCAAGAAGAATGCTCTCGAGAGCGGATCATCGATGTGGACTCCTATGGTGCGCCCGTCGTCTGATCTACCCCGATCAGTGCACAATATCCTGTGTGTGTTGATGCACGAAAGGTGCCACGATCTGCTGTTCTTAGCCTGCGAGTGCAGCATCTGCAGTTGCGAGCTGAACCAGATGAACGAATGGGGTATGACGGGCCACGGCCCAGGTTGGCAGAGGATGAGGGCAGCCGCTCAGGGTACGGCGAACTTGCATCTGAAAATGTTCTCCGAGCCATTCTTGCTTGCGCATCGGAGTGAGCCTGACCTGAAAAAAAAAAAAAAAAAAAAAAAAAAAAAAAAAAAGAATAAAAAAAAAAAAAAAGGGGGGGAGGGGGGGGGGGGGGAAAAAAAAAAGAAGAAAAAAAAAAAAAAGAAAAAAAAAAAAAAAAAAAAAAAAAAAAAAAAAAAAAAGAGGGGGAAAAAAAAAAAAGGGTTGGGGTTGGTGGGGTGGTGGGGGGGGGGGGGGGGGGGGGGGGGGGGGGTGTTGGGGGGGGAGGGAGAAAAAAGAGGGGGGGGGGGGGGGGGGGGGGGGCCTTTAAAAAAAAGGGGGGGGGGAAAAAAAAAAGAGGAGTTTGGGGAAAAAAAAAGAGGGGGGGGGGGGGGGGGTGTGGTAGTAGCATTAGCGGAGGGTCATTGGCAGGATTTTGAAGAGACTTATTGAATCATTCCGCATAACGCACTATTGTTACGAAACAATGGCAGTCTCTGCCAGCGTGTACTGGCCAGATCCATTTCAAAATGTTATTGACCAAGGTCAAGGAAAACCGAGATCGGTCAGAGGAGTGGCGTTTCCCATGAACTCTCTGGGTATCTCTGTGCCTTACTTTCGGGATTTTCGACCCTTATGTGACAAGCTGTATTCTGAAGCTTTTGAAGTATTCCTTTGGTGGCGCGCGCATGCTCAAATGCTCGCATCTCAGCCTCAATTCGGCGACATCGCAGCGATCCTGCCTTTCAAAACGAATTACCGTCGGCATGCACGCACATATCTCTAGAAATCCCTTCGTTGCGACCTTGATGCCAGACATTGAGTCCTGAAAAGCAAGAGATGGACATGTACGCAGAGCATTCCCAATTAGAAAATTTACCTTGTTTCCGGTGTGACAGCTTGGCTTCGCGAATCGCATGCGCCATCGCTAGCAGCTCGTGACCTTTGTCCGTTGCTTTCTGCGATCAGCGACTGACAAATACCTTGTATTTACCGAAGAAACATCTTGGCCTTTTGCGCCGGCACAAACGTTGGCACTGTCAGGTTGTTCCAAACAGTCAAGTGGTTGGATTTCAGACTCGCAGCATGCTTCTTTCTTGACCTGATGATGGAGTCCAACTTAGTACTCGTACACTTGAACTGTTTGAAGCTGTCGGAGAGACTGCCGTTTGCCGTTTGCCGCTTGCCGCTGCGCAATGATGATGTGGCCACTCTAGTCGCCTTTGCTATTGCCGCGGCTACTTCTCAAAACATTGCCTAATTATTTCAGCTCCGACAGAAACAGCTACAATGTGTGTCGGTAGGTCCTCTCCAATCACAAAGTCACGTTGTATATCGCTCACACGCTAAGGGTACGAAACTGTCCCAGGATAATTGCCGCCCGTGGGTGTCTCAACTCATCTCAAGAGTCAAAGGGTCGCCAATCCGCGCGGATACTCTTATATGCGTTCTTCGAGGCCTCATGCGCACTTCTATAAACGGTCAGCTGTCCCTTTGCATTCATTCATGGCCACTAGCAGGTATTCTTTTTCGTGTTTCGACATTTTTGCAATTCTCCGATCATGCAGCTCTTCTTACACCAATTAAAGCCGCTATGGCTTTTATTACCAACTGTCGCCATGGCTGCCACTCCTCCCTCGAGCGGTTCTACGACCAGCGGGACTGGTCAACTAAATCTTCTGACCCCTCAGAACCTATCGACGATTTCGCTCGGCCGGGCTACATATTGCAAACACGATGATGATGATCCTTTTCATTTTACTTCCAGTCTCAATAATACATTCCCCAGCACTCCTGCCATCCCGGAGTCCTATCTGGAATCTGCAGGCCTCACCATAAGTCAAGAAACCTACCCATTCGATTGCTTCCTTGAGCTACCGGGCGGCGTCGTTGTGTTTGAGGTATGTTGAAAGCTGCAAAAATCGGAGAAAGAGACTCGAGGCGCTTGACCACTTCGTGACTGTAACATTTCACTAACCTCCACCTTGCAGATCAAAGGTGAACTCGACTCGGAATTGACCTTGGTCTTCCAAGTGTGGATCAGCGTGCTCGTGTTCAACTACGATGAGGGCATCTATAGGTGTAATCTCCTGGAGGTGGATAAACATTCTTGCAGTTTCACCATTGATAAGAAGTACATCAGCGGACAGGCAGGACTTTTTCCGAGGGACGATCCCGATCCAAATTTCGTAGATCTTTGTTTCGAGGTTCACGGCACCGTCAAGATTCCATATACACGAGTGAACAGGAGGATCGACTTCGGGAAATGTTTTTTCAAATTCCCCAAGCCCAAGACTATCGACGCAGATGCCTAGAAAGGAACGCCGACGTGGGACTAGAAGCAGGCGGGGAGGGATTCCATGTAACCATGTCCCACCGCTGCATTCGATTTCGAAGCGATATAGATCAATGGCTCGTTATATCTAAAAAACATTATTGAAGATATGAGACAAATTATCTTACTCCCAAACCGTTCCCTCTACTTCGAAGACCTGGCGCTCTCACGTAGTCGTGCAACATTCGTAGCTTTCTATCGAGAAAGTGCAGGCTTGCACAGCCTGTTGCAAGGACACCGAAATTTCACTTACAAGACGTGCCTTGATGCCGTGAAGTTGTGGTGTCTCATGCAGCAACTAAGCGTCTGAGGTATGCCGTCTTTGTTACAGCCAGAATTTCGAGCAGGCACATGTGTCCTGACATTCCTTCACGAACGGTACGATAAGGCAAGTATTATCCACCCACCCCTAGAGCGTTTCGAGCTCCTCTTTCTGTCATACTTCTCAAGACTTGGCCTATCGATTCAATTGCTCAAGTCTCCCATGCCCATCTCCATTGGCAGCAATTTAAGAAGTCTCAAGAGCAGCGACTAGAACATCAATCTCCCGAAGACTCTCTGGGACTTCAGGGCGATCAAAGATTCACAGGGGTGTCGCTGCTTCTTAGCCGGAGACGTCTCCAAGGATGGAGGTGGAAGTTTTCGAAGTCGTTGAAAAACGAAAGTTTTCGTGAGCCATACTGTAGCGTCGGCCGTACCCAGGCATCCTTTTGTTCATTTATATGGAGGGAAAAACGTGTTACAACGATATTGGCCTATCGTCGTTAGCAAGTAGTTCATGGTGAGAAACCGCTGAGAGACGCACATATGACTTATGGTAGCGAAGAAGCTATCGGCATTCTTGAGCCTCATTCCTCAATCGCTTCGGGGCTCCCACGTTCGCTTATAACCAGCCATTAGCGTTGTTGGAGGTGCTTAGTTCGTATTAGGTTCAATTCCTAGTGGCGCTGGTACAATGGTGTTGCGGTGCTTCTTGTTTTCTATTAGCGCCCTATCAAATTTCCGCGCGTATGTTATGATTCTGTTCCACACTGCGATAGATCAAGACCTCTGAGATTTCTTGATACCTTGATTACTACCCATCCAGCCAAAGATCATGCTCTTCAATCTGTTGTCACTCGTGTTTCTCAAGCTTCTACCATGCGGCATCGTGGCCGAACCCTTGGGGGTTACAAAACCTTTCACCAGGAATTTGAATCTACCGCTGCTCAACCCTTCGAAAGTCTACAACGCAACACTGGTTTCGAACATCTCTGACGTCTCGGCTCTGGCCACACTACTTCCCTATGGCTTCTCCGTGCCTAACAGTCAAATGTACCTCCGCCTAGGCTTTGGTCTCCCCCGCCACCGCCTCGACCCAATGAGCATGGGCGGCCTCATCGCCGTAATTCAGCACGCCATTGATGAAGGCATTCTCAGGGACGGCGAAGAAGCTTTCCCCGGTCTCGACATAATTGCTGGCAGACAGAGATTCGGATGGACGCTGGGCGACGGCTTCTATTTCGTGGTTAGTAATGTCGAGCATACAGGGATGTATTTCAATTGGGGCAAATTGAAAGATGTCGTTGAGGGGTTGAGGTTATTCCTGATCGTTGGCGAAAGGTACTACGCAACGGCGTTCAACTTTTGGGATGGGCCTGGCTGGTGGTGGCGGATGCAGTTGGGGAGTGGGGGTTTTGAAATAGATTCATGAAAGGGTGGAGGAGATTGCACAGTACAACGTTTGTCTTCATCGGAAATTGCAACAATACATTGGTGGTGTAGCAAGCCTGTGCTCTCGGGCAAGCGTTCCGGTCTACTATTTCGATCTCTGCTGGAGAGAAACCCTAGAACTCTGTGGCGGCCTCTGGGCAATACCTCTTGTCATCGGCTTGAAAATTGGTAGCTTCCCGTGTCAACGATTCTTCCAAGTCGGACGTTTGTCGGCTCATAGGATTCGCGCTCCAACTATGCCTGATAGTGGATATATTTCATAGCCACCACTCTTATATAGGTACCAACTAGATCCCTCTTCACACCATGTGCCCACATGCCCATATGATAAAGGCGGCTAAATCAAGGTGTATACAATCATGGAGAGCAGTGCGACGGCGACTTTGCGAAACGTCTCTGTTCTTGAGTGGCCTTTCTCTTCGTAGCAAAAATGAAATTGCCCGACGAGCTTTAAGCTGTATTAGCGAAGCCAACCGAAACTTACATTACTCCTATGTTCTTCTCGACTTTCATGTTCCGGAGTGTTGAATGAGCTCGTGAAGACTAAGGTTATCAAGAGCTGCGGTCGGGTTAGAATTGAAGCGCCGGTTTGGCAGGGAAAAGCACGTTTTGAACTGAACACGGGGGGTAGGGAGCCTTCTGATCTTTGGTACTGGTTTCCAAATTGCGAAGTCATAAACCTTGTTATGCAAACTAGTGGTACTGAGGCCAATGGTTGAAAAGGAGCGAATTTGGCCTGTCCACTGACCTAGGCTCATGTGCAAAGACACTGTAGGGTCCTTCTTTACCACCGTGGATCTTCCACAATACGAGTCTCAGCGGCTACTCTTGGTGCCACTGGCACTCCCAGTCTTTGCGAGGCCTTGATCCATAATCGTCGCAGGGCAAGCAACGTCCATGAATAACGCAACACTCACCACTAATGTTAAGTCAGTCTGCCACATATTTTACAGAAAGTAAGACAGTGTGCGGACCAAGATGATGTTCCGCTCCGAAAAATTCATGAATCCTGTCCCCTATCGCATTTCCAGGAATCTCTACTTCACACTGACCACATTTTCCGCAAACGGTCATATTGTGCCCTTCAATGCTGACCTGAGAACTCACAAGTCAGACTCATTAGAATGCTCATGCTGGACCGTCTCTAAATACCAGATTGCCCTCATACAACTCGGGCATTGGTCTGATAATCTCTTACTCCCACTTCTTCCAATCCATCAAAGATGATTAATGTACCAATCGTGAACTCTGAGGTCGTATATTTTGCCGGGGCGGTATTAGCGTGTGCGAAAACGTTGGAATACTTGGCACTGAGATTCCACACACACCCCACAAAAGTAGTACTGAGTAGATGAATCTTCTCCCATATCGCATTCTACCACCTTCCTCATCATAACTGAAGCTCCTGTATATCTCGCTTAGCCAATTGTCTTCCAGGGCCGCACGTTCACGGGCGGCTTTGGCATGAGGGCCTTCAGGTCTGGGGCGGGGGCTGCGCTTGGCTGACTGTTGCTGGGGCCCGGCTGGCTATCCTCAGCAATCGCTTGGGCACGGGAGGACGCCTTCTTAGGCCTCTTGGACTGTCTGGCCGGAGGGGACGATGGCGCCCCGACTGCGTCGATTGGGAGGCATTTCGAAACACTAAGGCAAAACACCAAGGATCGGCTAAGCGAATATACAGGAGCTTCAAATATGATGAGGAAGTGGTAGAATGCGATATGGGAGAAGATTCATCTACTCAGTACTACTTTTGGTGTGAGAATCTTATCCACTCAGTAAGTATTCCAACGTTTTCTGCACACGCTAATACTGCCGGGCGTACCACGACTTCCTGCTACCGCGGCCCGTCGTCACGTATCCCATGCCTTAGTAAAGTAGATTCAACGTTTGCTGCCCAGCTGCAACTTCAACTCCAGGGAGGAGCACATATTCACAGGTACGGATCGCTGATTGAGCAACGTTGAGAATCGCGTACAAAAGGCCGATATTGGAAGCTGGGCGTCCAATCAGAAAATTCGTGTTTGGGCAATGCTTTCTTCTTTCGGTGTATTCTTCTGGTAAGGTATGTAACCAGATCAGAAGAGATACACCCAAATTTGACCACGTTACTTCGAAGGGTATATCGGTTGAAACATGGCACACAGGTTCGAGATAAGAGTCCATGGTAAGTTGTGGGCCCTCAGCCATCCTAGCCCCCGCGTATTTCCAGGACCCTGGCTTAGCACTGTGTTACCGACAGTCCCTCAGAGAGCTGACGGGTAATCTATCTATTCATCCTACAAAGTTCTGATGGCCCACGATGAGCGGAAGGAACAACTGACAACATACGAGATCGCCTACTGTAAATGACACCGAAAAAAGGCTCGAAAGACTCTGCGGTGACGTGTCCTCGCAAAGAGTTCTCGGCTTAAAATCGTAAGTGGTTTTTGGCTCGGCGGGGTGGTTTCTGCTGCTGCTTTGCCTTGGTCCATCTAGTACTACCGCTAAAGCGCTTGATGAGAGACAGTTCGAGACGTGCAAAGAGTGAGAATTTGTCGTCCCTGATAGTCATCTGAATGAAGTGAACAACATTGTTTGATGCTATTTGGAGCATTGAAAGATAGCATTGAGGTAGTTGATCTAGCGATATAGATGGTTACGTGGATGCCTACCGAGTTTTACCCATCTTCGATCAAAGATGGGCTCAGCCCCGAGAAGATCCCCGGTCCCAGCAACGTCACGTTAGTCATGTTAAGCTCGAACGTCCCTCCGCTCATACTACTTCCACTCCACTTCTTTGTCAGAACAAGAGCAATCACACGCTTTGGCCCCACAGCCACCGCCCCCACCGTCTCAGCCCCGTCAATACCTTGTTCCATACACTTCTGTACAACTTGCTCGGCTCCTTCGCCAATGAGCTTCGTTGGGAACGTATCTTGACTTCCTTCATGAAGCGCATCGACAAGGAACTCGCAATCACTAGACGCGAAGGGGCTCTTAAAGGAGTACGGTAGCTTGCGGTTCCTGACGAAGGCGGATGGACTTTGGCTCCAAAGGATCGGCTCATCGCCTTGGAGCTTGGAAGCGGCGTAAATGTCGTTAATCAGATCGTGGCAGTCGGTGATGTTCGGGATGTCGGAGGCGGGCGGAGGCGGCTTTTGGCATATGGGTTCGCAGAAGGATAGAGGTAGGGTGGCGAGGAGGAGCGAGATCGTTGCAAACATCGCCGTCTGGGAGAAATATCTAAGAGCACGGATTGCATTTGAGATAGAATAGAAAGACGCAACTCACTAGAATTGAGAGCTTTTTTTTTTCAAGGATTTAGTGCGGGTTTCACCTGCGTGCGCAAGAGGCGCTTATGGCTGTTCCTGCATACGACAACTCAAGTCGATATTTGGAGCGGTATGATGCCAGTCAGGGTATTAACCTGCACCGTTACCCGACGCGTATCAAATGTTTCACGACTTGATTGCTCAGCTACTGCTGCCATTCCGATCTTGAGGTTACCACTAAATCGGGTCATCATTCAAAATACCCAGTTTGAGCGACGAAATCGTCCAAACTTGAACTCAAATTCAATTATGTGAGAGCATGTGAACGTTCAAGCCGGGTCTAGCCCACAGCAAGTATTTGTTGATTGTAAAAGTGAAAAAGCAAACGATACAAATTCCTTTGAAACGCGTTCCTTGCGATGACGTAGTACGCGACATCTTATTGCCTTCGCTGGTCCGCAAGATCATCATTTGTGTACTGCTGACGCATGCGAAATCCTGACGCAACCTTTCTTATGAATCGCAAAGATTGTCTAATGTATACTGACTCTCGGGTCCTTATAGGTACTGCGGCATCTGAGGGAATGGCATGGATTGGTCAAAGTGAAAGCAGTAGGCCCATTTGTCCGTCGCGGAATGACTTTTGCTTTCGGTCAGTCACTCTGGAGCTCGATGTTCACCCGGACCAGCATAGGGCTAGAGAAGGCTAAAGAGCAACGAGCAGCCATAGCGCGGGTAAGCTTATGCGAAGCGGTGTTTGGTCATGTAGTTGTCCTCGTGGTAAGCCGTGACGGATAAGATCTCACCGAACACTTTGCTGATGTCAGGGACTCAATGGTGTGTGTGGTAACTCTGTATTGTAGTATAAAGAGAATACTATCTATATAGGATTATTACAAGTATAGACTTCACAGTAAAATAGAAAGGCCGAAAGGCCTTAACACGCTAAGCCCAATTAGGCCATAATATAAGTAAGTAAGATCGTAAGATTATTAGAACTATAATATTACCTCTCTCTTTAATTTAAAACTTCGACGATAACTACTATATAGTAAATATCGATCTTATAAAAAATATATCTAGATATATACGAAGTAATATCCTTAGATATATTAACTTAATATTCCATTATAGTATTAAGATTTTCTTATAAGTTAATATAACTACTATAGATTAATAGCGCTAATAAAAAAGATTATTTTAAAGATTTTTTAAATAATAAATAAGAGTTAATAATCTCGAGATAGTAATAATAAAAGTCTACTATTAGATTCGAATATTCTATTATATTTATAAATAATTATTAGAATAGATTTTTCTTAATCTTAGAGTCTTTATATCTAATTTTATATATTAGATATTCTCTTTTACTAATTAAGAAATAATTTTTTTATTTATCTAATTTAAATTAAACTATTTCTTTAATATTTACTAGTCGAAAAGATATGAAATATTCTATAAGATATTTCATATTAAGTAATATTATATCGTATTCGAGTATAATATAAGTAGAGTCGAATATTATTTTATTTTTCTAATATAAGTTTAAGATCTTAGCGAGATATTTTACGATATAATATATTTATAATATTATATTATAAAATAGTATATATATAAAATATTTCGATTAAGATTTCTATATTTATAGAATAATTTAACTAAGATATATAGAATATATTTATTCTTCTTTATTAAGAGAGAGAAAATATAAAGAGTAATTTAATATAGTTATTTATCTTTTTATTAATAGTAATAATTAGAATAATAATTAAAACTATAAGCGTCTTTATTCTTCTTTTTAAAATTATAATATAAAAGAATATTCTAAATTTTAAATCTTTAAATATTATAAGAATAAAATTCTATAATTATCTTTATTTATATATTTATCTTAACGCGTTAGATAAGCTTAATAAACTTTATATTTATCTTTCTCTCGAATTCTTCGTTACTCTTTTATTCTACTCTATCGCAATTCTTTTAAATATCTTAAATCTATCTTTATCTAATTAAACTTATTAACTATTTATAAATAAATTCGCTTCTTAAATTATCTTAAACCTCTTTATCGAGATTAAATTTATTATTATTAACTCTCTCTAATTATAAATTTATTAATTATCTCTCTATATATTATAGAGTATTAATAATATATTTTAATAAATTTATAAATATTAGACTTATCGAAGTATTTTTTATAAGCTTATTATCTTTATTAATATAATTATTATAATTATTAATTAAATTTTTATATAAAGTACTATTAACTCTTTTAATTTAATTTAATATACTAAAATCTTCTTTAAAATTAAATTTAATCTATTTAAACTTATTTTCTTAATATTTTATATAAAGAATTATTATTAAAATATAAAATATCGCTAATAAATAATATTTCTAAGTATTATAATATCTTTTAATTATTAAGAAGTATTACTTATATATAATAGCTCTCGCGAGAAAATAAAGAATATTACGAGTTATTTAAGCGACTATAATATATTTAAATTTTAATTTCTTTTATTATTCTAGAATTAAAAGATTCGCTAAATTATTAAAAGAAGCTTTATAAAGATTAGAAGTAAGATTATAATTAGAATAATAATTAGAAAACTTATTATTTCTTCTATACTACTAAAGCTAATTATATTTATTCTTATTATCTAAATTCTTAATTTTAAATTCTATTATTTAATTAAGTATATTTTTATTTAATTAATTTATTCGCTTAACTCTTTATAATTAACTACTTATATTAATATTTTAATAATTTTAAAATATTCTTTTAAGCGTTTTTTAATAAATCTTCGTTTATAGCTTCTTTTTAATATTAATCTTTTAATTTAATCTCTTTAATTTTATATTATTATAATTTAAATATAAAAGCGTAGCTTATTTATATAGATAGTCTAAATCTAATTAAATTTAATTATAATAATTAATTAATTTCTTACGAGCCGTTTTAAAAGTTTTAAGAAATTCTTTTTTTTAAAAACTCTTTTTCTTCTTAATTTTTCGAGCTTTTTATCTATATAATTAAATAAATAATTATAAATATTAAAAATATAATAAATTATAGCCTTCTTTTCTCTATTTATTAATTTTATAAATTTATAAAAAGATTTAATAAGTTAAATTAAATATTAAATTTATTAGAAATTATTTAAAAATTATTTAAACGTTTAGATTATAATTTTTATTTATAATTATTTTTTATTATTTAATCTTAAGTAGATAGTTAATCTATTTTTTAAAAAAGTATATAATATTAATATAAAGAAGTAAAACGCGAATTAATATCTAATAAATTAAATTTTAATAAGTTTTAATATTCTAAAAAAGCTTAAGAGAGCGTCTCTAATAATATTACTTCTTTTTAAAAAATTAATATTTATTTAATATTAAAACGTCTTTATCTTAAAACTATTTAATTTATAATATAAAAAAAATCTTTTTATATTAATCGCTAATATTAATATATATAATAATTTTTTAAATTTTAATATAATTAATAATATAATAATTAGAATAATAATAAGAAATATTATATCTTTATTAAAGTTATTAATAAATTAATTATATTTATTTAAACTTAATTTTTATCTTCTTTATTATCTTAACTTCTCTAAAATTCTTTATTTATTAAAATAATTTTAATATTATTTAAAAGTTCTTTTAAAACTAGTTAAATAATATACGCTATATAAGAAATATATTATAAATAATTTAAAGACTTAAATTCTTTAATATTAAGCGAGTTATTTATTATAAAAATAAAAAGATAAATAATTAAATCTTTAAAGAGTATATTATTATTATTAGCGTTATTAATTATAAATTTAAATATATAATTTTAAATCTTATATTTTATAAGAATTAAATTAATAATACTTATAAGTTTCTAATTAATATATTTATCTTCGATATATTCGAAATTTATAAAAATTTTATATTATTATTAATTAATATTAATAAAAAAGATTAGAATTATTATAAATAATTAATAATTATAAAATAATTAATAATTTAAAATTAAAAAAACTTTAATATTATCGACTAGTAAATTCTTTATTAATCTTATTTTTAACTTTATAACTTTTTTTATTAATTAATTCTTTATAATAAATATTAATTTTAATTATATATTAGAATTAAGATAATATAAAAATTATAATATTTTAGAATTATTAGTAATTATAAATAAAATATCGATATTTATAATTTAATAATAAAATTATTTTAAAAAGTCTTCGCGTATAAGCTTTCGATCTTCTAATATTATAAAAGAATTTTAATATTATTTTTTCTAGAGTAAATAATAAACTAGATATTCTATTTATTATTTTATTTATTAATAATCTATATTATCTAATTTAGAAATATATTTAATTTTTATAATTATTAATTAAATTCGTTTATTATAAATTACTTAAATTAGATTTCTTAATATATTTCTTTAACTTAATATATATTTTTATATTATTTATTTTATAATCTATAAATAAATAAATTAAAATTTTATTATAGTAATAATAAATAATATATAACTTCTCGAACTTAATAAGCGTATATTCGTTAAATTATATTTACTTTTAAAATCTTTTAATTTTTAAACTCTAATAAATAGATTAACGATTATTATTAAATTTAAATTAATTCTATATAACTTATATTATCTTTATTTATTACTATATTTTTTATTTTTTATTATTAATATTAAAAAGAAAATAAGATTTATTATTATTTTTATATTAAAATATATTTATTAATATCTTATACTAAATATTATTAATTAAAAAAATTAAGTTTATATTAAATAAAGATCTAGTTAATATCTTAAGATTAAGATATTTAAAAAGAAATTAAAAGAGATATATAAATGAATAAAATATTAAAAATAAAATGAGATTAATATTTAATATATAAATTCTATCTTCTCGCTATAATAAAAA